GCTGACTAAATACTTTTTTGCCCCACTGTAAATGTGTTCCAGTGGACCTTGTTTTTGTGATGCTAGGTTGTAAACGTTTTGTTTGTCATTCTCAATAAAATGAAAAAGCTGTTTATTGAAATTAAACTGACATTGTAAGGCTGACAACTAAAAACAAAAGTAAAATGTTTAAGAATAGGTGAAGAAAACAGCTTGTATAATAATAACGAGAAGAAGAAGAAGAATGTATTTGTATAGCACTTTTCAAAACAGAGATATATATGTACAGGAGATAAGTGTACATGTTTGAACATACAGACACAAAAACAGACATGCTCTTTTGTTCCATCATACACACATACATGCATGCATGGTTGCAAACTATGGCCAAAAAATGAGGGTGAAAAGATTAAGGAAACACTAACCTATAAAAAATGAGTTTTCAGCAGTTGTTTTAAAACAAATAACAGAATCTGCTGTTTTAATAGTCTGAGGAAGGCTGTTACACAGTTTGGGTACAACAATGTCAAGAGGCTGTCAATGTTTTGGGCTTGACAGAAAAGTGTCACTGGGTGTCATCTGCACGGCAGTGGTAGAAGATTCCATTAAAGCCATTCAGTCCATTGAAATCATTCACTAGATGGCCGAGGGGTAACATTTCTCAAAGTGCAAATTCACCTTCAGTCTGAATTCACATTGCATGCTTGGAGCTGACACTTCTATCCAAAGAAACATGCAAGTTTCCAAGATAGGTCAAGGAGGACATGGGACGTTTGCTCATGGGTTTTCTAATAGATGGGAACAAGCAGCAAGACTCTTGATCAGGTCCAGAACCTTAAAGTATATATACAGTAAAAATAAATACAGAAAGTTAAAAAAAAGAAAAGAAAAGAAAACTGCAAATGTCAGGCAGACAAAGATTTAGCTATTGATAAGCACATTTCAAATGCCCAGTGTTTGCTTAAAGCCTGATTGGCGACTAACAAGAAGAGGAACATCCTAAAACCTGGCAAAAGGAGTATTTCGGCATTGCTGTGCATTGGTGTCAACGCAAAATAAATTACATTGAGGTACATGCCAATGGAAATCTATTAGAGTGGATTAAACAGGTGAACTATATGCTGAAAGGCTACTCCAGAGATCCAGGTTTGATTCTGCTTCTGGACATGTTATTCCATGCTATTGCGCTCTGTCCCTCCTTTCTTGGATACTCTGCTGTCCAGGGTAAAAGTCAGTCTTTAAAAAGAAATCTGTTAAAGTGGACACAATATCATACTGAAGGTAAATATGGACGTGCTGTTTTGTAGCTTATAGCTGGTCCCTAGTCCCATTCTAAGGCTTACATAAGTAGTTCTCCTATATTCTCTTTACCGCTGTGATAAGCTGAAATGGACCCCCTACTCTAAACTGTGCTCACTTCAGTCGCTCTATTAGAAAAGTTTAACTGTCATTGGTATAAATCACTATACATCACTGACATTTCATTTCATAGTCTCTGCTGCCAGTCATTCCTTCATATGCCCCTTAACAAGCTGAACATTCTTTCTGATATCAGGCTAACAGATGGATAATGAGTTCTCTTCTTCTTGTCTCTGCAGTCGCTTTTCATCATCCACTGTTTAAATTGTGGTGACCTCTTATATTTGTACGATGGGTGTATAACCCATTCCATAGACATCTGACTAGCAGTAACTGGACTGAGCCCAGAAGCAAACTTGGTTTTGTAGATGAACCACATTTGTTGGCAGCTGTTTTTGTTAAACAGAAAAGACTTTCTGGATAATAGACTTGATTTTGAATTGGCTATTAATGACCACTTTATTCCATTCAATCAAGTTAAGTTTTATGTATTGCACAAACAATAACGTACCATTGGCAAAATTTTGAAATGTCATTTGCATTTAGTACGACCAAATAATTTTTAGAATACTTTTAATAATGTTTTTAATAAGAAATATATATTTTACCTGCACCATGTATAGAGTATGAGACGTATGTGTATCATCCCAGCAATGAAAAACAAGCAGTGAGTGACAATTATTCTAATGCTGAAAGAAATGTGACTTATTTATTACTTATTAATGTGTAACTTATTTAAAGTAATACATAAGATTTTTTAAGTAAACTGTTTCACGTGGGTAGTGTTTTTTCTGAAGCGTCCTCTATGAGCTCTCTCTTTACCTACAATATGACTGATATTCCTTACCCCTCATAACTCTTTTCCTACCTTGCTTCCCCTTCCCCTCACAGTCTGCTAATTGCTTGTAAAATCTCTTTATAGGAAAAGTAACAAGGTTTTAAATCTCCACTGTGTCTTTACTGGCCAGGGGGATATTTTACAGACTACATTATGCAGTTCTACTCAGATGAACTGTTTAGTTTACCACTCACTGAAGGGCAGACAGAGCAAATGCACTTTTGTATACATCCGTGTGCTTTTAAAAAGGAGCATATGAACATTTTGATGGTTTTAAAGTATACTACGTTAACATGAGTTAGGATAAGTGCATTTTCCAGGAAGTGCTGACCAGTGAAAAAAGGGGTTGTGGACAGTGACTGTACATTATAACATATTATCCATCCAGCCATACATTTTCTGCCTATCGAATTCAGGGTAGTGGGAGGGGCTTTGTCTGGATTGGCTAAAATAAAATTAGCGTAGAAATCAACATGTACAAGTTGTCTAAAATTATGATTGAATGGTTTAGTTCTAGATGGTCTTCCCCTGCAAACTTAGACATATAACATTGGTAATTCCATAAAAACAGTGGAAAGCATTTCTTAACCTTTGATTTTTAATTTAAAAGATTAAAATGATACACTCAAACTTAAATGTTTCTACATTTACATCCATCCACCACCCTAACAGGTTTGAGTCATGAATAAAAACATTTTCCTGGGTTCACCATGTTATGTGAACATCTAAAACACACATCATTTGACAGAATGCAGCGAATTTGTGCGGTCATGCCATTTGTTCCATGTTTTATTTCTCCATATTTTCTGTCTTGCTCCAATATTAAAATTAGAAAATGTAAAAAAGGGAAATATAGAAGTAAAATTCTAAAAACATTAAAGTGACAAATTGTTATTATTAAAAAAACATATTGTATTGACTGTGCTTTACTGTTGTGTTGCTTGGACTAGTCATATGTGGTTTTAAGCTTGAAGTCTGATCTACATCTGACATGATTGTCTTCTGTGTTCCAGGTCTGTATCTGGTGTGGATGTGGATCCTGATCTGGTGCACATGGAGATGCAAGATACAAGTGGAGGTGCAGTGATCTTCCACTAGCCCACTCATCTTGTTATAATGTTAGCACTTGGTCAGAGAAGATCAAACTTTATTAGAATTTCTATAAGTTGATATAAATCTAGAGGTAAAATAAAGCACAAGGTTTAGCTTTGGTCCAATTTTATACTACTAATAGCAAACAGCTAATCAGCAAAGAGACTTGAAATTTGAAATGCTACCAGGTGTATTCTTACTTGGGTTTAAAAGCATGTTATTAAAATACATTAACTGGCACTATCACAAGCTGATGGGTAGAGGACCAAAATACAGGATTTTAAACAAAAAGGTGAACATTTATTAGGTTGAATGCAATGCCTACAGCCAAATCCGAATACAAGCAGAACTCTAAGGTCTTTGCAGGGAAACAGGCAAAACTAAGAGCAAACAGAGGAAGATAAAGACTACAGACAAGTCTAAGGAGAAGCACAGGACTATATATACACTATATATACACTTTAACTAGAAACAGGAGGGTAATGAGACATAGGTGACAGTAATCAAGACAATCACAGGGAATGAAGTCAAGCTTAAAGGAAGTAAATCCGGTAAAGTAAATCCGTTGGGCATCTTTCTTTGCCTTTAGACAACAATTCTGATGGCAAAAGAGCCAAACGGGACAGGCAAAAAAAAAAAAAAAAAAAAGCTTAAAGGAAGACACAAGAGACAACTAATTTTAAACTGTTAAAATAACAAAGAACCCAACTAAAGGCACAAGAGAACTCACTCTGAATTCAGGGAAGGACAGAATTAATAATAGCCTTAAGGCAAAACCAAAAGGAAATAATTAGTGCTGTGAAAATTAACATGTTAATGCAAATTCATCTGCCATCACGGTCAATGTGATACTTTTTTTTTTAAGCGCAATTAACGCATCTGGAGTGCAGAATGACTCAAAATCCCTAAAATGTTTCTGTCAATGCATTTCGGGTAGTTTGTCCAAATAGAGTTACCTTTGCACATGCGCAAATGGGCAGCTGATCTGGTAGTGATGGGCAGCTGAACCAATCAACTCAATATGGAAGATGATAAACGCACATTGGCCCTCTCAATGAAAATTTGAGTATTAAAGAAATAACAAGACGGAACAGTCAACCGACATAAAGTATTATGCAAATTATGCAAGAAGGAATTTTCTTTTTACCGAAGCACTTCCAGCTTAAAATATCACACTGACGTGAAGCATACGTTAGCCGGGGATGCTGCTAGGACTTTGGCTAACGCGTCACCAAGCTTGCGACAAACCACTCACGGAGAATCGGGGACTCAGTAAGTCTACCTCAGACCAGTGTTGCCAACTTAGCGACTTTGTATATTTGGCGGGTTTTCAGACCCCCTTAGCGACTTTTTTTCTAAAAAGCGTCTAGCGATGAATCTGGCGACTTTTTCTGGTGTTATTGGAGACTTACTTATGACGACTTTTTAACGTGAAAGGGCGTATTGCTCTTACTCTCAACAAGCAGCAGTGCTGCCGTGGGCACCTCACCCGTGCTAAAGCGCTCACGGGCGGAGGATAGTCCTCCCCCAGCTGCAGGAGATGTTCACACCTATGCGTCCAAACTGCAAATGAACCGCGCATGAGCGAAGCCGCTGCTCCCGCACTGACTGTAACGCAGTCAGTTCTTCTTTTACTCTTATGCTGTTTTGTGGATCACAAGGTTTAAAACTACTTATAGTTTTAAACCTTGTAACTACTTGTAATTGAAACCAGGCTATTGATCAAGTAATTGCTATTAATTGTGATTAATTACAGAAAATTGTGAGATTAATTAGTTAAATATTTTTAATCTATTGACAGCACTAGAAATAATATTAGAAAATTGAAAAGCTTTATGAGAGTAATAAAACCCAGGCAGAGATCCTAAAAAAAAAACCCTCAAAAATCTAAACCTCAAAAAATAAGAATTAAAACTTCATGCAATAGAGTACAGAAATACCTAAACAGAAACTCAACCTCAGATATGTTAACTAAGGATTCAAAGTCAAAGACGTAACCAATCTTAGGTCACATGACAATCAAAGCAAAACCGTCACTGTGCCTTTTTAGTAAATCTGTAAGGAGTGATTTGGATTTGCACAGGCCAATATGGCCCTATGCCGGATTGATGGTAATGAATTTTGTTTCTTGAAATATCCTTGCCAGATATGACTGATGCCTCATTCAGTTCAACTATGACATGAGGATCAACTTCTCTTTAAGAATTCTTGAGGTAGAGGATAATGTGTTTTACCTATCCAGGCAGCGCTAGCACTACAATGTAAAAGCAAGTAAAAGAAGAGATGACCGAATGACCTTGGTGTGGGAGTGTTGGTAGTGTTTATGTGTGAGGGGTCAGTGGGGAATTAATGGATAAGCTAAATACTCAGGGTCCCTCAGGGCAACACCAGTGAATTTGGATTATCATATCTCCTGAGTGACAGACGAACACCTCCACACAGAGGGCCAAGAGGGTAATAGAAATGTGTATTTGAGATTGTGCATTTGTCAATGAAGGTGGCAAATGTTCAGACTCTTTATTCACATCTTGACTTCATCTTCTCTCAGTCTCCCAAACTATAATCCTAAATTCTAAACTATAACCTCTAAATAAACCTGAGCAGGCAAAGTCAGATAGGAGTGGCAGACTCTGAAGGGCACAATGAAGGATGTGTTTATTATATTTGCTGTTCCATTCTCAATAAACCTCCCTATTATAAATGGCCATTAAAATCTGAACCTCTTGAGGAGGAGACGAGCAATCTTTTAACCCACACACAGAAAGATGCTGCCTGCATTGTGAAATCTGTCGGGCTGAACAAAGCTCCCTGTGTTTGTGGATAGTGAAGATGAGAGGCTGTCTGTCTGGGCTGACTGCCCAGTTAGGGGAGCTCTTCCTGGGGCACATGGCCTCATCTTTCTCATTCTCCTCCCTCTTCCTCTCCTTGCTTCTGTGCCCAGATAGATAGTTGAGGAAGGCGGGAGCGACCAGGCATGCTAAACCAATCTGTTCACCCTGTTCCCCCAAATCCTCTGCTCCAACCCTGTCATGCGTAGCATGGCCAAGGTTAAATAGTGGCATGCTACCAAAAAGGACACAGGAGAGATGAGGAACTGTGGCCCTGCCCTCAGCTCCCAGGACTGCTGTCTGATGTTTGAGAAGGGCTGGAGGGGTGGGAGGAAAGTCTCCTAGGAGATGGGGTGGTCGATTGATGGATGAGCCATGTGTGCACAGAGATGCTAGCTGGTAGTATGTCTTTGTATATTAGTTTGTCATTAGGGAGATTGAAGGGCAAGAAAGCATGAGAGTATCTTGTTCATGCACATATTGACGCTGTAATGTTAGGAGTACTGTAAATGTGTACATGTCTCTACAAGTATTACATGTATTGCTTTCTGTATTTTTTAAATAGTCACAGTCTCAATAATATCCCTTTAGCTATGCCCTGTTTCCCTGTTGCTGTTTTCCTCGTCATACCACCCAATTTCACCATGTGAGTGTGGTTGCAGGTATGTGAGGACAGCAAGTGGCATGAAGAAATGAGTGTGCCACAAGCTGGAATTGAACACTTAGTCCAATCTAATAGTTTTTTAATGAGTTCTCCACCGTATGCTGCTTTGATTAAATGTCTGGGCTTTTCAATAAATTAGCCACTCCATTTATTAGACCACACACCTCCTGAACAAAGACAAAGCAGAGGAGGAAAAGTACAGTGCTGATGAAAAGAATTGACTCAGTCATGCGATATGAAGTTGCGTCATCCTGAGGCTGAACCGATTTGAATTTTCTTTTATGTAGTTGTATGTTGATTTTATTCTACTAAGATAATACTTTAGAAAAAAAAGCAGTAAAAGACATCAATATAAAGAAGATAGGATGTACCACATGTGAATGAAGGTGACTTGATATGGTGCATTATAACACAGACATCTATAAAACTGTCTTTTATGAATTTTTAAACCAGGTAGATTAATATCCATTCTGTTCAGCAAAGGACATGGAGAAAGAGTCATCCTCTCTGTCATATACACACATATATATATATATACACTCAACAAAAATATAAACGCAACACCTTTGTTACTGCTCCCATTCCC